ACAACTACTAATTGAAGAATTGAAGGAACTATGGGAAACGGGGATAGACACATTTGATGTTGTAACCAACCAAACTTTCCGAATGCGTGCTGCCTTATTGTGGACAGTTAGTGATTTTCCAGCATTAACTATGCTTTCAGGATGGAGCACTAAGGGGAAATTAGCATGCCCCACTTGCAATTATGACACATGCTCTCAATATCTCAAACATAGTCACAAGATGTGTTACTTGGGTCATCGAAGGTTTTTGCCTATTGATCATCCATTCCGAAGAGATAAGAAGTCATTTAACGGCAAAGAGGAGCACAGACTTGCACCTGCTCCTTTGACGGGTGAGGAAGTGTTTGAAGAGCTGATTGAATTCAACAGTATCTTTGGAAAGGGAACTAAAATTTATATGGTGACAGTGAATAGACTTTAAACTCACTGAAAATAACTTGGCAGTAAGAGTGGAAATAAAAATTAGAAACTGATCCATTGTATGTTTTATGCTATCTATTTTGTTTGAACTTTTATTTTCTTTCTCGTTGTTTTTTAACTAATAGAAGTTACTCTCCTGTTAGTGATCAGCCTTGCAAGTCAGAACATCTTCAGGTGCTCAAATAGGTGTTGAATCAGAAGGAGGCTGAACAGAAAGAGTAAGTTCCCTTTTTTCTATTTCCATACATAGTTTTGCCTCTCTACCTTTTCTTTTCATACTTCTCCTTGTTTCAGTAATATGTACTCATCTTATACTATTTCGCATCTGCTTTTTTGTACCTGGCAGAGATTTTAAAAAGTCATGAATCAAGAAGGGTGTTCAAGCAAAAATAAAAAAATATCCAACCGCATTCCAGCTGGATCACTTGCATCTTTGCGAAACCAAAAGGTTTCGTCGTTGACAACAAAGAGAACCTCTCAAGCTATAAGGTCTAATGAAAATGAAGAAAGACAATCAGAATCTCGATCACTTGCATTTTTGCGAAATCAATCGTTGACAACAAAATGAACCTTTCATGAAAATGAAGAAAGACAATCAGAAGCTGAGAAGGTTTCACAAAGATCTCAACTACAAGAAAAAGTGCGGCAAGTGCCATTAATTTCTACCTCTTCTACAACACAAGGAGTACAAGAACAAGTGCGGCAAGTACCAATGGATTCCATCACTCCTACATCACAAGCTGTGCATGAACCATTTGAGGATTCTACCGATCATGAAGCAATTGAACAATCTGAGGAACCAGGCAAGTATATATAAATTTAATCATAAAATTAACTAACAGTGGTGATTGGTGATTATACTTGTTTTGTATTAGTGCAGGCCCTTCTGTGCCAAAAAGAAAAAGAGGCCCTACTCAAATGCAAAGTGTGCACGGTAGGAAAGACCGTAAAATAATCGTGCTAAGTGAGTTCAATCAACCCATTGGTCCCACTAAGGAAGTTGTGAAAGAGTTGGGTAGCTTCCTCGGCACATTGGGAAGGAATGAGACCTTTTGTCCTCTTAATGTATTTGATTGGAGGAAAGTAGACAAAAAAGATGATATTTGGAAATATGTCAAGGTATGAAGTTCCTAATGTTCAATAAGCGTCGATATTTCACATTTCTTATATTAACCCAATTGCACTAAATTTGTAGGAAAAATATGATATTCCTGAAGAGGCGAAGAATTGGGTTTCTGATTCAGTTTGTACTGCTTGGAGAAAGTATAAAAGTCAGTTGAAGAAAAAGCACTTTGATATATATGAGAATGACGAGCTTCGAATGCAGAATAGGCCACAAAATGTTCCTGCGTCTCACTTTAAAGATCTTCTTGACTATTGGAACTCCGATGCCGCCAAGGTAATTACATCAAACTTTTGCCAACTCGGTCTGCTAGTTTACTGTGGGCACAACACAATACTAGAACTTTAATCTCTTAAAGACACTCAGCCAATACAGAACAAAAATGAATCAGAAGATACTAGCCTTACATTTTCTTCATACTAGTTAGTGACTGGAAGCTTTGAGGAAGTTTACCGGTCATTGAATTGAAAGAGATATCCCTGAAGCATAAATGTAAACAACCAAAACTAAGCAACATGGGATAAAGCATAATTAAATCAATCAAGAAAAACAAAACATACATGCCAAAGGCTGAGTTAAGTTGAGCATCAGGTCAAGGATCGAAGCCCTTCTCATCAATAATATAGCGACAAACAACTAAAGGCATAGTTCTGGACATTTCACTTGGTGGCAAGAATTCACATAATAAACTTAAGGGAGNTATATCACCGTGGATTTGTATGAAGCCAGAGTATATAATGTTGTCTATGATCATTCCAGGTCCATCGTCTCCAGGACATGATATAGACGTGTACCTACAACCATTAATTGAAGAATTGAAGGAACTATGGGAAACGGGGATAGACACATTTGATGATGTAACCAACCAAACTTTCCGAATGCGTGCTGCCTTATTGTGGACAGTTAGTGATTTTCCAGCATTAGCTATGCTTTCAGGATGGAGCACTAAGGGGAAATTAGCATGCCCCACTTGCAATTATGACACATGCTCTCAATATCTCAAACATAGTCACAAGATGTGTTATTTGGGCCATCGAAGATTTTTGCCTGTTGATCATCCATTCCGAAGAGATAAGAAGTCATTTGACGGTAAAGAGGAGCACAAACTTGCACCTGCTCCTTTGACGGGTGAGGAAGTGTTTGAAGAGCTGATTGAATTCAACAATATCTTTGGAAAGGGAACTAAAAAAAGCCTCGGAGTGCTAAGGGCCCATGGAAAAAGAGATCCATTTTCTTTGAATTGCCATATTGGGTGCATAACAAATTGAGGCATAATCTTGATGTGATGCACATTGAGAAAAACATATGCGATAGTTTGCTCGGGACTTTATTGGAAATAGATGGAAAGTCAAAGGACCATGAAAATTCTCGCTATGACTTGCAAGAAATGGGGATACGAAAGGAGCTACAACCAAAAACAAATAATAATGGAACTGTAAGTTTGGCTAAATCTTGTTTCTATATGGAACAAAAACAGAAAATTTTATTTTGTACTGTCATGAAAAATGCTAAATTACCAAAAGGATGCGCTTCAAATATTTCAGAACGCGTGCATGTGAAGGAGATGAAAATATCAGGGTATAAGAGTCATGATGCTCATTTTATGATGCATTACTTGCTCCAGGTTGCTGTTAGAAAAGTGTTACCCAAGAATGTTTCATTGGCCTTGATTAGGTTGGGAAATTTCTTTAGAGCTATATGTAGTAAGGTCATAAGGAAAAGAGATCTTGAAAAAATGCAGTCTGAAATTGTTGAAATAACATGTGAGCTTGAAAAAATTTTCCATCCAACATTTTTTGACATAATGCCACATTTGCCTGTTCATTTGGTGAATGAAATTAAGCTTGGGAGGCCGGCTCATTTTCGTTGGATGTATCCCATTGAGAGAAACCTATGTAAGTACAAGGCATTTGTACGCAATCGATCTTGTCCAGAAGCGTCAATAGCAGAGGGATTTTTGGCTGATGAGTGCTTGACTTTTTGTTCGAGATACCTACATGATGGCGTGAAGACAAAATTCAGTAGGTACCAAACTGTGGATGATGAGTGCTCTCAAAATGTGTCACCTTTATTCCCTAATATAGGCCATCCAATTGGAAGTAAGAAAAAAAATACTTTTCTCATGGATGCACAGTTATGTTTTGAAGCACATCGATATGCCTTGTTCAATACCGGAGATGAGCATATGGAAATGTTTATCGAGTAAGATAAAATTTTATATATGTATATTTATATTTTATATTTATTTATTATATGATTAAACTTGAAATATCATGATTGCAGGGAACATAAGAATTTAATTGTTAATCACAGTAGATCAAATGCATGGGAAAGAGCAAGGAATCATAGTCGGGAATTTAGTAATTGGTTTAAGGAGAAAGTTAAAAATATTGTAGTGCCAGATTATTTACGATGGCTAGCCAAAGGACCCAATATGGTGGCCAAAAGATATACTGCATATTTTATTAATGGATACCGATTTCATACCAAAGAACGGGATTCCCGACGCACGACTCAAAATAGTGGAGTGACTTTATCGGCAACAACTGATAGTTTTGCTAGTGCTAGGGACCAAAATCCCATCGATGGTGAGGTTATCTATTATAGAGCTATTCAGGATATCATTGAGGTTGATTATTGGGGTTGTTTTAGCGTTGTACTATTTAGATGTGATTGGTTTCGTAATGAAATAGATGATTATGGGTTAACTCGGGTGTACTTCAATAGATTATGCAGTACAGATGACCCTTTTGTGTTGGCATCACAAGTTTATCAAGTTTTTTATGTGGAGGATCCAACTGAAAAAGATGTTTATTACGCAAGGAATAAAGTACCTGTTGATTTGTATGATCTAGAGGAAGAGAATTGTCCCAATATTGGAGACACATTTTGGAGGGAACCTAATAATGACATTAGTTCCTCCTCTAGATTACTTGATTTTGACATAATATGGTCAAGAGAAGATTTACCTGTTGATATTGTTAATATTCCAACTAACGCACAACATTCACATGATATGATTGTAGAATCGGAAGAATCGGAAGAGGATGAAGGGTTTGATGATACTGATTGGGACTGGATGGAAGCAGATGATTAAATAAGAAAGTTCTGAAATTCTTTTAAATATATTCTTTTTAGAGTAAGTGATAATGCATTTATATATATTAAGATTATTTTTTGTGTTGTCGATCACTTCTTTTTATACTTAAGATTATTCTTTTTATGAATAGGTAAAATGAATTGTGGGTGACAGAGCTGCTTGCAAGGTCTTTATTACACTTGGTCAACTACATTAGTGTATTACCCCTTTAATTTTGCTTAACCTGTTAGCCTACTTTGTTAGCATGAAGTGAACTGATTTGGATTATACTTAACTAACAGTGGTGATTGGTGATTATACTTGTTTTGTATTAGTGCAGGCCCTTCTGTGCCAAAAAGAAAAAGAGGCCCTACTCAAATGCAAAGTGTGCACGGTAGGAAGGACCGTAAAATAATTGTGCTAAATGAGTTCAATCAACCCATTGGTCCCACTAAGGAAGTTATGAAAGAGTTGGGTAGCTTCCTCGGCACATTGGGAAGGAATGAGACCTTTTGTCCTCTTAATGTATTTGATTGGAGGAAACTAGACAAAAAAGATGATATTTGGAAATATGTCAAGGTATGAAGTTCCTAATGTTCAATAAGCGTCGATATTTCACATTTCTTATATTAACCCAATTGCACTAAATTTGTAGGAAAAATATGATATTCCTGAAGAGGCGAAGAATTGGGTTTTTGATTCAGTTTGTACTGCTTGGAGAAAGTATAAAAGTCAGTTGAAGAAAAAGCACTTTGATACATATGAGAATTACGAGCTTCGAATGCAGAATAGGCCACAAAATGTTCCTGTGTCTCACTTTAAAGATCTTCTAGACTATTGGAACTCCGATGCCGCCAAGGTAATTACATCAAACTTTTGCCAACTCTGTCTGCTAGTTTACTGTGGGCACAACACAATACTAGAACTTTAATCTCTTAAAGACACTCAACCAATACAGAACAAAAATGAATCAGAAGATACTAGCCTTACATTTTCGTCATACTAGTTAGTGACTGGAAGCCAACATAAGTACTTCACAACATAATAGGTTTTATTTTTCCTTCAAAACAACTCCTGTTCTAAGATTGTCCATGTGATGCATAAGGAATTTGTTTCCACGTCTTCTTCAATATTCTATCCATGCCTTGAACCTACAGACTGTTTCACATTGAGTAAGCATGCTTCAATTGTGAAAGTTAAGTATGAATAATGTTTGCTTGTTTATTTGCAGAAAATGTCTGAAACCAATATCGAGAATCGAAAAAAGTTGAAGCATCCACACACTGCTGGAAAAACAAGTTTTGCTCAAATCATCGAGGTTTGATTTTTTTCTCTTATTTTTCTTTAAGTATGAACTTGCTAACTTTGAATGAAAACATTATTATACCAGTTTTCTTTTTTACTAGGTAAAAAAAGAGGAAAATGGTTGATACTTCGGATAGTCTATCAAGTAAAGATATCTTTGTGGCCACAAGAAAAAAAAAACCTGATCGAGTATACAAAAGCTCTTATGAGAGTACAATGAGTAAAATTGTAAGAAATTTCTAGTTTAAAAATTATCGTGAGTATTTATTTGTTCTTAATTATTGACTTAGTTTTATTTTACTTATACTTTATTCTCTTGCATTTGGTTTGTAGGCTGAAATGGAGAGAATACAATCCACTCAAGAAAGTGGAGATGGTATTGATTCAGTTGACGCGTTTGCATCAGTGATGGGACCTGGGCACCCAGGTCGGGCAAGATTGTATGGACGAGGAGTCAACAAAACTGTCTTAAAAAAGAAAAAAGGAGATTTTGGATCCTCTGTAAATGCTACTGATGAGAGAATGGAACAAAAAATGGAGGAAATGGAAGAGAGGATGCAACAAAAATTGTTGGAAAAGCTCAATGCACAAAAGGAAAAATTGCTGGAAGAGCTCAATGCACAAAAGGATGCTATGGAACAAGATATTACGATGAACGTCGTTACACGACTTCAACGTCTCAACCCCGATTTAAGACTTGATCCTGACATGCTAATATTCAGTGCTCGTGCACCTGGAGAAGCTGCTTCTGCACAACAAGGTGCTATTCAACCAATCAATCGTCCATCCGCTGGCAGTAACAACCAAGGTTAGTCCGTAGCAAATATGACACGTCTTCTCTTTCCTCTTCTTCTCCTGTTTTTTATGTTAGCTTCTCACTGTGCCTTTGCTTTTGGAATGAACTAGTAAGGTAATAGTGTTACATAAATTGGAACAGTGAATATACAGTTAACAATTGATGTCATCTTCACTTATTCCCATTCGTGTTATTATTGTTCCTGCTATATGTCTTCCTTTTGGACTTGTCAAGCTAACATAGTGTGTTGATATTGTAGCCCAGATTGTAACAATTGATTTTAAAATTCCACGCCAAAAAGTGTACTGCTCCTTTGTTGCCCAGTTATGTCTCCAGCTACTCATTTTTCTTTCTATTGCACGTGATTGTTCTGTTGGAAAATGCATTGTCCAGAGATTTGTGTCATATTTTAAAACTCTACTCAAATTTAGAGTTCCAAGACACATGCCTTCACTGTGTGCCATTCCCCTTTGAATTGTCATCCACGCTTTTGTGCCTTTTGTTTCTATCGAGTGCTTTTCCTCGATCCCATTCCTAGCTGCTTTACTGACACAGTATTGTGTTATTGCAATTGTTGTCTGTTGCCCAGCTTTGTTAAACCTTTTTTGTGATATTTTTTGTGTGTATGAAATCATGTCCTTCTGGTCCGTGACTAAGTTGTCTCTTGCCATCTCTTTTCCTCTATGATTCTGCTGTATAATTCTACTGTTTTCTGTCCATATCACTTGCTCACACAACCAGTTCAAATTACGCAAAGGTGTCTCTTGCCATAACATCTGGAAAATACATGGCATTTTGCAGTATTTGCAGCATGAAAATTGCTGTTTCTTGCCAACTCCATCCTTTCCTCGATAACATATAGGTGTGCATTCCTCGAGCTTCAGGAAATAGCGTGCATTGAAAATGCATAAAGAGAACATGGCTCCTTGATTCCACACATTTGAACATGGTTTCATGTCTTGTTAGAGTTAAAGAGCAAATATTTTATCTTTAATCCATTTTGCAAATCTCACTTTATACTACTCTTTTGTAGGTGGAGTAGATGAAGAGATGGAAGACGGAAGGAGTAATGAAGATCTAGACCTTACTTGAATTTTGAATTGTTGATTGTTGTAGATGCATGTGGCGGTTTCTAGGAATGTTTGTTATGAAAATATTTTAAAACTTTTGATGTTGAAATATCAAATGTATGTTATTGGTTTCATATCTATGGATTTATAATTAACTTGTCCGACAATTTGGATTATCAAAAGTTTCATTTTGTGTTTATATAAATTTTAGTGTTTTATAGTTTATTGTATATTTACGTAAAATCTTTATTTACAACAGGGGGCACTATTTTTAATTTAATTAAATTGTTACAGCTAACAAAACCGTTGCCATAGGGTCTGAAAACCGTTCCAAAATCATATAAAAACTGTTGCAATAGGTAGATCACCGTTGCCATAGGACCTGCAAACCGTTCCAAAATAATCTAACAACCGTTGCAATATGTTTGTGAACTGTTGCCATAGTATCTATAAACCGTTCCAAAACAATCTCCAAACCGTTGCAATAGGTAGTTCAAACCGTTGCAATATGTTAAAGAAATCGTTGCCATTTCTATTATACCTGTAACGGTTTCGATAGATATAGTAACGGTTTATGGCCGTTGCATTTAACTTTATGGTAACGGTTATTAACCGTTGCAATTGATAAGAATAATCGTTCCAACATGAGGAGGGAAAACCTTAGCGATAGACTATGCTATAGCAACAGTTACTGGAACCGTTCCAACAACCGTTCCATAAACTCTATAGCCACGACAGCTCGTGGAACGGACGCTGAACCGTAGCAGTACGTCTATGGCAACGGTTGTCTTACCTATTGGAACGATTTTCCCTGCGTAGCCATAGGTGAATTTTCCAGTAGTGTATATAGTTAACTATGCAAAACAATAGATGCATTTGTGGGTGACGTATTATCTACTTAGTCTGCAGGCAGAGGTCCAACATGTCAAGATGTACAAGCAGGTCTTCGAGGAGGTAGTTGTTGATGAGCTGATCTCTGTTACATTTCAAATTACATTCATTATATTTCTCACTTTTAAATGAAGTTGAAATTTACGAAAAAGTTAAAATACATAATTCAAATAGTTTCCGTAGGAGTTAGGATTACTTGCAACTTGGGACGCAATGTCTCAATAACAACTGCTGATTTTTTATCAACTCCTGCACCTTGCTGTATACATATAAAAAGCACCAGCATAACAAATCAGAAGAAATCAATAAGCATTTCACAATTTCATACATGTACCATAAATGGTTGCAGTTTAACAGGTAGATCTAAACCCAATACTGGAGCATAATTTTATATGTAAAAAATTATTAAACTTATAAAAAATAGTAAAAATGAACCCATAATTTTAAAAATACAATGAGTTCAATAGTAAGAACCTTAAAGATTGAACTCATATAGTTTAAATCATGAAGCCGCCTCTGAGCTTAACCATTAAATTACTTCACAGTTTTCCTTTTCGGTGTGTTTGGTTCTAAAAATATTTTTAAAATATATTTTCCTTATAAACTTATTTTCTCTAATTTCGGAAAATAACTTCCCTATTAAAATAAGAAAAATATTTTTTGAAATTCTCTTTTAACCCTCCCAACCTCACCCCTAGCCTCCAGCCTACCCCCCACGCACACACACCATTGCCTACCCTAAGTCCCACACCCCACCATAGGCACCCCCTCAGCCCAGGACCCCGCCTCCCTTGCCACTGGCTCCGCCCTCCAGCGAAGTTGATCCCCCGAATCAAACCTCCCCCTGCCTCCCCCTCCCCCACCATCCAACCAACTCCCACCACTCTCCCCCCCTCCCCCAACCTCACTACCCCCTCCGCCACCCCCACCCACCTTGTTCCACATATTGTTTACTTATATTATATATACATGTTCTTGGGATAATATTTTCTGCTTATTAACCAAATACGAGAAAATAAATAAAATACCACTAATCTTTTAAGAAAAAATATATTTTTCATGTCAAACACATTTTTCATCCTTATTTAACTCTAAAGATTTTCATCAGGGAAAAAAGAGAAAACGAATTGCAGTGAAATTTTACCGGATTGGGCCTATTATCAAACCCAAGTAGCAGTTAGTTATGGAGTGAGAATTTTGGACAAACCCAACTTTAAATTCAGGAGTCATTTCTCTTAGAACCATGATTCTTGCATATCATAGGGACACCCCTGGATTTTTTCTTAGTCATAGAAAATCCCCGATCTAAAATTTATTGTTGCTCTAACTTAGCCAAGTCTTAATTAACATCTCAATAGCCAGAGAGAATATTCATTTTAATTGTGTGCTTTCATATCTTATGAAAATGTCTTTTTTTCATGAGTAGAACCAAGGTAGAGCAAAAATAACAACAAATGAAGATATTTTGTAATTTAATGTCCAACAATAAGCTAAAAGGAAATTTAAGTTTCATACAGTTCAAGTATTTAATAGGGTTTAAATTAATAAGTACCTTGCATAGAGCCCAGTCTGCGGAATCAAAGAAGGCACGTTCATGGTCCTGCATCCACAACATTACAAGTGGTTGTCAATTTTTAGTCAAAAAGCTTTTAATTTAAAACTTTTTGGAGAAAAAAGAAAGTATAAAACTTGCCTTTGAAATCAAAGGCTTCTTCTTTGGCATAAGTCCTCCATATTTTTTACCAGTGGCAGTAGTCTACAAAATTTAGCGTCAGTACCAATTATATAAAAGAGACGTTGAATTAAAAAACAACTCATAAAATTACAAATGATAGTGTAAAACATGGAACATGGACTAAAGATCGCAAATCCAGCTGCAAAATGGGGACTACTTCATACACATTTTCTATTTATTTTTTTCAAGGGAAAATGACAACATGGGAAATCAATCACTTACAAAAAAAACAAGGTGAAATATGGGTAGAAAATCAACTGGACTACTAAGATATTCTGCATTTTCTAGCTCTAGTTACCAGTAGACGACCAAATAATTGGTCATTTAGTTCATACTATAGAAAACGTGTCCAACTTGTTTTTAACCCTAATGTCCGTACATAAAGTAGGGAAAATGAAAACGATATTTCAGTGAAAAGAAGCTTCTGATTAATCCAAACTAAGTCAATTTTACTAAATTTTCTATTTAAGAAGCTTTTATGTAAAACGTAAGACGTGACTAGTACATCCCCTAGTTAGATGTTTCATTCAATGTTTAATTTGCTTGATTTCTTTTTCATTTATATTCCTATAACCTGAATTTCGGTTTAACTAAGTCATTCAACTAAATCCGAGCTAAATCTCTTCGCTACCCTACTATTGCCACACTTACACTAGCCCATTATTGCTTATCCACACCATATGTTAGTGCCGACAAATTTTAACCATAACGTGCAATTTTTTTGAATTTAAGCTATGGGTCGCAATGTTTACGGAGTAAAATCTTAATCGCAAAACCGAGTTAGGGACCACTCTTTTTGCAGGCTGCACGTGATTGCTTTGCCCCTTCAACCCCACAAATCTACATATAATAATATTTACGGTTCATTTTTGCTATATTTCTATAAAATGTCTCAATTTATTTTTTGGACCACATTTATAGTATTACAAAGAAGATCGTATATATGGAGCCAAGACGAATATTACTACTAGTGCAGTTACAAGATAATGTGACTTGTGGCCACTCCTAATCTATCAACATATGATTCTTCTTTGTCTTATTTAATTCTTTTCTAATTATGTTTGGTACTTGCAAGAAGATTTAATAATTATTACACGAAAGAAAAATACAATACTAATTGAATTGTGAAATTAGGTTAGTGAACTCGTATATGATTTATTTTACCTGATTTGAGACTTGAGAGAAACCTTGGACTTAGTGGTGCTTCAAATCTTCAATAATAACAAGTGTCTTAACCTCTATATAATTCAAGTAGATCGAATAAAGCAGTTCCTTCTTATTTAGTATACTGATTCTGACCTCAAAAGATTCACGTAATAGTATAATCTTTCGAACCCCTGGATCCTTCCATGTTTTCGAATTCAAATTTATTAAAGGGCAAAGGGTCAAAATTGTCCCTCTACTATTGTTTATTGGTTGTTTGTGCCACCCGTTATACTTTTCGGTCATTCTCGTCCCTACCGTTAACAAAGTTTGCAAAATTACCCTAATCCTAACGTCCCTCCACTGTGGCAGCTGACCCCATCAATTTTATCCATGTCAGCTTCCATGTCAGCTGCCATGTCATCGACCCCACCAAATTAAAACCCTAACATAGATGACCCCCACCATTAATTGACAAACCCACCTTCTTCACATAAACCCCCCACCGTATCTCCTCCATTTTTTTTCACATTCTCGTCCACAACAAAACAATGAAGAACCACCCATAAAAAATTTATACAAGATAAACAAAATAGAACATTAAAGAATGTTAATTTTTTTCTCATATTCAAGCGAGAAATGAGATAGCAGGAAATTATAGTGGATATGGTATTGTTCACCGTTTATTTCTAATTCTTCCAATATTTCTAGTGCTACAAAATTGTACAATTTAATTGCTTCAAAGTATCAAAATTTGCGAAAATTTGATTTGCGTTGAATTCAAATTCAGAGTTTATTTAAAAGCCTACAAGATCAAAGGATATTAACAGTGTTCTCGTCTATGAATTTGGGGATTTATGAAGAGGATGGTCAAGTTTCTCTCATGTGGGTTGAAGATGAATGAATGAAAGATTTTGGTCTAACTGTGTTTACATTACGCGGTGAAGGGCGGAATAGTGGTGGTGGTTATGGTGAAAAGGAAGTAGTGATTTTTTCCCCCTTTTTTGAAGATTAAGTTAGTGCTAGAGATGAGCCTAACTGTCTAAAATGATGGAACCCTGGAAGTGAATGAAATGGTGGTTCATCATTTTTAGGTGGTCAGAAGGAGGAAATATGGGTGGTGAACGGAGAAGGCAATAGAGAAGAAGGTTGGAGTGGCGGCAGATGGTGATGATGGGTGTTTGCCAACAAGATCTGACATGGCTGCATTGAATAACGCTACGGTAGTAATACTTTGATGGCTTTTAATCATATCGGCAATTTTTGTTTGTGTGAGTTGGTTTGAATTTCTTGCCGAAGAACGGGGTTGCTGTTTGAATGACGAAACAGGGAGAAGGAGAAAGGCGACGAAGAGGGGAGCCAGCACCGTGGAGGTTGGTTCTGCCCGCTGAAAATTTTCCGGCGAAATGCCATGGTTTTGGACGATTTTGGTATGAGGTGAGGGAGAGAAGATGAGAGAAAGGGTGGAGAGGTGAGGAGTCGAGGGTCCTTTATGTTAGGGTTTTAATTTGGTGGGGTCGATGACATGGCAGCTGACATGGATAAAATTGATGGAGTCAGCTGCCACAGTGGAGGGACGTTAGGGTTAGGGATAATTTTGCAAACTTTATTAACGGTAGGGACGAGAATGGCCGAAAAGTATAACGGGTGGCACAAGCAACCAACAAACAATAGTAGAGGGGCAATTTTGACCCTTTTCCCTTTATTAAATATTCCATCTTCTATGTGATTCTTGTTGTATCAAAACATAGAATATATATTTTTTTTTTAATTGGAAGACAAGAAAAAGTAAATTGCACGACAAGGTTAAATTTTTTTTCTTTTTCATTTTTCCTAGCAGATCAGGGCGGCTACCCAACTTATACGATTCACATGGTTAGTGGTGGTTATAGCAATAACTGTAGATTACGGGAGTTAGGTCCAATAACACATGCTTCATCTATACTCTTTTCACACTTTAAAAAACAAAGTGATTTGGGAGCATCTTAAGGTTCATAAACTCTCTATCTTTATATAGTACGTTACCTTAATTAGGGGTGTTACAATCGAACCGGAAAACTGTACCAAACCGAAAAATCAAATCAAACCGATTAAAAATTCCGACTAGGTTTGATTTAACTCGGTTTGATATTGAGTAAAAAACCCGAACCAAACCGACATATAAATATTTAATTTTTATTTATTCTTAAAACTTTATGTTGAATTTTCTTTAAAAATGTAGAAATATTTTGCATCCTGTCATGTGTTAACCTTGAAAGCGTACATTAACGAAAAATTATTATTAGACGACTAAGAAAATAACTATCATGTGTTACTAAAAAAATTCTCCCGTTAGAATATTTTAATAGATCATATGTTTGTCAATTTTTTCAATATTTACTAAACATATATTCATTTAGCAAAACTATATTTATAACTTTAACAAAATAAGATTGGAATAATATTCATGTAACAAAAAAACCCGAAAATCCGATAAAATCGAACCAATCCAAACCAATATAGTTTCAGAGTAGCAATCAAGAATATTGATGAAACCAGAGAAATGCTCCTTAACCAAAGTAGCGAAAAAACTCGAAGGACCAAATAAAAATGCAAAGATTTCATCTTATGTAGAAAAGGGAGGAATAAAATAAAATTTTCAAGTACCTCGTGATCTTGAGAGGAGACAGAAAACTCTTCAATACTGCTGCTATCTGCCATCTTAGTATGTCACAACCACCAGTCTAGCTCTCCCCTGTTTTATCCACTTACCATAAACATATTTATAACTTTATAGAATTGGAGAGAGTTGTTGTTGTGTGTGTGTGGGGGGGGGGGGGGGGATAGAGTGTGCAGCTCTAATCCAAACAGAAGGCAATAAAATATATGAAATAAAAAGAGAATCTTCCATTACCTTGAAGCAGAGGAGATAACAAGACCAAGCAAAGGCAGAAATATGGTGAATAGGCTAAGGAAGAAGAAACGGTGGGAAAGAGGGGGGGTGGGGTGTTGGGAGAAAGGATTGTTTGACTACAAGAGAATGAGATGAGAAATTTATAATTTTGGCACGTCAATGATGTATTCTTTTAGGGTTTGTCTGATTCTCTAATCATATTTGAGTTTATATTTAAAGAAAAGGCAAAATATTTATATAACTAATTTTTATTTTTATTAAAAGTAAAATATAAGTTTCTTTCATATTTGATTAATTATTTTCTTAAAGAAAAATATTTTTGCACTTGGGATTAAAGAGTCATGTTTAGGGGTAGAATTTATTTTTTTGAATAGTTTTATAGTCTCTTTTCTATAGTAGATTATTTATCTCCTCTCATATGGATGCAAGTCAAATCAAATTACGTTATAATATTCTCTTTTAGTATATTATTATTTTGTTATATGATTTATTATCGTTTTACCAGCTTTCGTATGACACTTAATTATTTCGATCCCAACATATTATTTATACTTATTGCTTGCACTCATAACTTTATACATAAACATGAATCTTTTAAACAGATGCGTATAACCTAATTCAAAATCATCTATAAATGTGGGTATAATTTACTTTACCTTGAAAAAAATCACGAAAAGGAACAAATTTTTCAAAGAATGTGGAAGGATTAGGAAAAAGTTTGGTGAATACGTACGTAAAGTGGGAAGGGGGCAATAGTTGGGTGTTAACTGTTAAGACATCAATATCAGCTGGACTCTTAAGCTCAGCTCCTTCCAGTTCCACGCCATACATTACGCGTGCTTATTATAACATGCAATAAAACCGACACTCTTAAAAAAAAAAAAAAAACGAATATTGGAGAAGAGTTAAGGGAGTCTTTACCCAAAAAGTCCCGGATTCACATTTACTTTTTGTAGTTGATATTAGATTATACTATGATTATATATAGAAGAATTAACCTAAATATTCTCCTTTATTTTTGTTTATTGTTAAATTCTATCGTCTGTTATACTTTTTATTTATATATATGTGTAGGACAAAGTTGGTTCGTATTAAATACTCCAATAATAGAGCGACATGTGGAACCGGGGACAGACGAAAGATGAAGCAAGTGAAAACCAAGATCGAGGACAGCAGCTTCGGTTGGCACCAAGCAGACCCCGAAGGGAACATTGCTAACGAGGTCAAACGAATATTTGTCACCCGATGACATTCAATGAAGAATATTCCTCAGTATAAAATGCATAATCCGTTACAGAGAATTTTGGCATTCATAGTTTGCCGTTATATATTCATCAATGGCCCTCATAATTGTCATTTAGAGGGGCTTAATCCTAGGACCGTGTTCCCTAGATATAGCTATAAATAGTGACTTCAATAGCCATTGTAAGACACGAAAATTCTGACAAACTTATGCTACACATTATTCTAAGCTCAATAATACTTTATTTTCTGTCTATCAATATTTTTATTGCTATTTTCGGAAGCCTTGCTCCCGGAACCAAGCTGTTTGCTATCTTATCTCGATTTCATCTCTAAGTCTTGCATTTCATTTAATTTATTTATCATTTTGGAATCAAATTGATTCGCTTGTCTATAAATCACGTTATAAATTCAACTGTAGCGTTTTACGGATAAACAGTTTGGCGCCCACCATGGGGCTTAGACAGTTGCATAATTGAGTTGATCCTTGCATCTATTACTAATCTGTTTGATTTCTTGTTTCTTATATAAAATCGTAAAAGATGACAGATAATGATGTCAACATCGCACACAACGTTGAGGCATAAGAAATCCGCCTCAACACGAAGATTCGATCAGTGATACCCGCAATGAGGAGGATGTAGCAACGCCGGTCCATGGCGGGCAATATCCGCGACACGTACGGGAGACAAATCCTGATGATGCTGAAGACGAGCATGTTGAGGAAACAGTGAGAATCCTGAGAAAACAACAAAAGGCTATGGGTCATCTCTTACGGCAAGACCAGGCCATGACAGAATTGAGGCAAGCATTGTCGGGTGCTTCCAACAATGCAAATGGAAGAGGTCCAGCTCCTCCCGGTGCTCCCACAAATCAAACAGTGCAAAGGGTCGATAACCACACCCCGAGGGATGAGGTCGGCTTCGACGGGGCCGGGATCGGCGGTGGATCAGGTAGCAACGATCCCTTTAAAACGGAGCTCATGCGGTTTATCAGGGAAATAAATGCCCGAATGGACCAAATTCAGGGCACACCGCCAGTGTTTAAGGGACCAGACTCAAAGAAATACATACAGTTGCCCACAAACAGATCGTGACACAAGAGTTAATCCTGAAGCGGTTCAAAATGCCAGACGTACCAAAATATTATGGGCCTTTGGATCCTCAGGATCACATTACCACCTATACAACGGTGGTGAAAGGAAATGACTTAGCTCTGCACGAGGTTGAGTTGGTCCTGGTGAAGAAGTTCGGGGAAACCCTCACGAAGGGGGCCCTGACATGGTATTCGCTTTTACCCAACACTCAATAGATTTATTTGAGATGCTCGAAGATTCTTTCATCAAGGCCCATGCCGAGGCCAGAAGATGCAGGCCCGAAAGGCCGACATATTCAGAATCGCGTAAGGAGAGTCCGAATTGCTGCGGGAGGCTGTGATCAGGTTTCAAAAGGAAAGGATACTGCTACCGGCTATACCAGATGAATGGGCGGTTGAGGCGTTCACTAAAGGGTTGAACCCGAGGAGCTTTGACACTTCCCGGAAACTGAAAGAAAGCATGCTCAAGTTCCAGGCAACTACATGGGCAGATGTCCACAACCGTTATGAATCAAAGATAAGAATAGAAGACGAGCAGCTCATTTTCCCAACATCAACCAAGGGTCGGGATCGAGAAAACAACAAGGATAAGTCAAAGGATGATTTTCATAAAGATCGGCGATCTTCTTAGGGCCGATTTTTGCCCTACGAAAGGGCCGAAGGATACGACAGAGGTTTTTGGTCGGTGAACAGGTTCGCTCTCGATAGGAGAACTGACCGCGGCCGGAATAACAGGTCATTGCAGGACAAAGAGATATCAAGCTCCCGGGATTCCAACTACCTCAGCCTATCCGAGTATAATTTCAATGTCAGCATGGTGGAGCTGGTCTCGGCGGTAAGGAACATTAAGGAAGCACGATTCCCGAGGCTGATAAGATTCGATCCTAGTCAGATGGATCCTAATTTATGGTGTGTTATCATAGGACTAACGGCCACCGGACTAGGGACTGTCGACATCTGCGCGAGGAGGTGGCGACGTTGCTGAAAAACGGCCATCTTAGAGAGTTCTTAAGCAACCAGGCTAAAAATAAATATGGTCGCAAACGCGATAACATGGAACCCTCGAAGATAGGAGAAAATCCTCCTCGACTAACGATCAACATGATTTTCGGGGGGAACAAAATCAATGGAGTATTTTCAGCAGCAAAAAAGACAAAGGTATCAATGACTCATAGCAAGAGACTCCGGGAAGTCGCCGAGGACGATATCACCTTCACAGAGGAGGACGCCGATGGACTTCTACTACCGCACAATGATGTCCTGGTAATTTCTCTTAATGTTTTATATTTTAAAATCAAGCGTGTTTTGGTGGACCCAGGAAGTTCAGCCAATATCATTTAATGGAGAGTGTTGGAACAAGCCAAGTTAACCGGAAGCATCATTCGGGCCACAAAGCTCCTCGTCGGGTTCAACTTAGCAAGCATGACAACACGAGGAGAGATCCTACCGCCCACGATCGCTGAAGAGGTCATGAAAACTACCCTGTTTGAAGTGGTAGATGGCAACATGGGCTACAATATAATTCTTGGCAGGCCATGGCTACTCGAGATGAAGGTCATGCCGTCAATATACCAAAAACTTTTAAAATTCCCAACTCTAGAGGGAATCAAACAAATAAGGGGAGATCAATCGGCGGTAAGGGAAATGAACACGATCTCGGTTTGCAGCGGTTAAGGGAAAGAACATGCGGCATAGAAATTATAGGAACCGATGCCCGCTCGCGAACCAAACAAAATCAACAAAGGGGAGGAGTTGTGGGAATCCTATCAGGTACCGAGGTATTTCCAAGTACTGGAAGAAATGGATGCAACCAAATCCACAGCGGAAGCACTCGAACAAGTCGCATTGTTCGAGATGTTCTTAGAGAGGAAATTCCACTTGGGGACAAGATTAAACCCCGAGCTCATGTCAGAATTTATAGAATTTCTTAAAATTAATATTGATTGTTTCGCATGGTTGCATGCGGATATGACAGGCATTCCGCCAGTGGTGGCCATGCACAAGTTAAGCCTGTACCCTAGCATCCCTCCGGAAAGCAAAAAAAGTGCCCGATTGCCGAAGTCAGAAATAGGTTTGTCAGAGAAGAGGTAACTCGGCTTGATATCAGTTCAATCCGGGAGGTAAAGTATTCCGAATGGCTAGCTAACGTAGTAGTAGTTCCAAAAAAGAATAATAAATTTCACACGTGGGTAGATTATAAGGATCTGAATAAGGCGTGCCCAAAAGACTCGTTCACATTGCCAAAGATTGATCAAATAATTGATGCAACAGCGGGGCACAAGTTGATGAGTTTACTCGATGCTTATTCCGGGTACAGCCAAATCAAAATGAACCCGAAGGATCAGGAAGTCTCATAACGAACTTTGGCACATATTGCTACAATGTGATGCCTTTTAGGCTTAAAAATGTCGGAGCCACTTATCAGAGGCTCGTGAACAAAATGTTCGAAAAGAAAATAGGGAAAACAATAGAAGTTTACATAGATTATATGCTGGTTAAGTCTTTGAACGTAGGTGACCATCCGAAACACCTCCAAGAAACCTTTGACATTCTAAGGAAGCACAACATGAAGCTTAACCCTAAAAAGTGTGCATTCGGAGTCATCTCCAGTAAATATTTGGATTTCCTGGTGTCACAAAGGGGGATCGAAGTCAACTCCGATAAAATTAAAGCCATCGAGGACATTTCAGACCAGTTGACAAATGTGAAAGAAGTCCAAAGGTTAACCGGAAGACTGGCCGCTCTAAGCAGGTTCATTTCCCGGTCTTCGAAAAAATGCCATCATTTCTTCTCACTTCTGAAGAAAAAGAACAAATTCGAATGGACTCCAGAATGCC